GACTAGTCAGCCAAACGTGCAATAATTAACGTAGAACAATAAAACCCACTAGATGTTATGTGGGGTTGCCGGGCAAGTAAAGGGTGAATGCACTGATTAATAATTAACACATGTCTTTATTATTTCTATTTATTTGAATTGATTTACAAAATGGTGAATTACAGACGAACTTTATATTTCTTGATAATCTTGTGGTGTTGAAATATATTTACTATGAATGAAGCAGGTTATAATCTATTGAATATTATCGCTAAGAGGTTATCATGATTGTAGTGCTCTGATCGAACACTGGAATGCCATTGTGTTTATCTTAACACGTGTGTAGTTGCCTTTAAATATCGGTCGTAAGAGAGCCGAGATGGAGGTTATGCGAAGCTGTGCGCCATCTGTAGCGGGAACAACTTGTAGTTGGAGGGATTGAGAAGCCAATGTGGCATTTATAGCTGGTCTTGTTCAAGAGTATGTCCGGGAAGCTTCCGTAGTTGGACTTTAATCCGTCCGTCTTCTACATAAGCCGAGAAATCAAGAATGAGTACTAGCTGTAAGGACTTACTTGCAGTGTATCGTGATTTTCCAGTCTCTCTTCGATGGCTTGTTATTACGTTCCCTTGCAATGTTGCAACTCTTCAGTTCTTCCTTGTCTCCAAGTGAGACCACAAGTGGTCAGGTCCCACGCAATCCAGTCTTGATGAGATCAATTCAACTGTACACTAATTCACAATAGTGGAAAGAACTTATTATTAAAACTCAGCTAGCTAAACGACTCATCTCTCCGGTCCTCCTCCGTGAGAGTTGGTCGTGACTTATCCTTCACTGTAAGAAGTATTTGGAAAGAGTAAGTGAGGGTACATTACGTAGTCCCTTCTTAAAATGATTCACTGATCCCGCTCCACTTGGGATCCCTTCTTCCTTTATTAATTAACCAATCAGTGGTTGATCTTGGGTCGCACAATAGATTATGCACGCCTTCATTTCCACTTCCTTCCGGGCTCAGTTCCGAATTTGCTAATTGGGAAAGTGTCGGAAGGTGGCGAGCCTTTTCCATTGGTCACCTCTCTTTGGTTGCCTCATCCCTCTCTGGGACTTGGCTAGAAGAAGGGTCCGCTTGGGCGTGGTCAATTTTCCAATACGATCGACCAGATGTGGCATAGCCAAGAACAATGCAAGCATTGTCTTAAAGGCCGAGTGCGCACGTATGGTCATTGCATGTGTAGTACGTATGGGTTTTCGGTTGCAGTAAATATTTGTACTCAATGCTTCACGCATATCTGATATTCGTTTCGAATCTACTTTGGGGTTCTCCCGGCAGTAAACCCATTAGGTTCTACTGCACTGGGAGTATGAGCACGTTCCGCTAGAGTTTTCCAGATGTTTTATGACACTAGTACAAATAATTATGAGCAGGAAAGTTTTGAAGTCTTAAATACAATTTTCATGACATTACTTGTCAGATATTTTATTGCCTTATTAAACGGAGTCTCTTATTCTCAAACAAATATGATAAATGGATTCAGGCCTTCTCAAAGTATTGGAAGAATAATTCAAAGGGGCTACAAGGGACGAAAACAAAACGTACCAGGCAAGGATAGCATGTTGTATTTGTTACATCATCGGAACTCGCTCGCAATCATTCGAGCACCCTCTCACAAGTAATTACCCAAGTCTAAAAAGAATTATGAATCCATAAAATGACACGTCATCTGTGTCGCATCAAAGGCAGCAAATCCTTTAATAAGACATACTCAACTCACCTTGACATACAAACGACAGCAGTATTGGATCTTACCGGATGAACTTAACGATGCATTGCATATGCATGACAAGAAGGGAATCCATGCTCAACATTTAATTGGCCAATCACCTCTGTCTCGAATAAATCATTGAACCGTTATCAAACACAGGTGTTGACTATGCCAGTCAGTTTTAATCATAAAACTTTAGAAAAAGAGAAGTAAAATTTCGAGAAACGGATTTATCGCGGCATTCCGACATTTTTCAGAAGCATCCTACAAACTGTACACAAGGTTCCCAGGAACAATAATAGACAACAAAGACCATCTTGAACGACTACTCTCTATGGGAATTCAATCCATCCGCTAAGCATCACATGGGAGAAATTTGGCAAGCAGTGGTAAACTTCGCCAAGTGACATAAGGCGCACCGTTGAAAAAACAACAGTTGAAGAAATCTCCACACTGCTTGCCCAAATTGACATAACCATCAACACAGCCCATTAGAATACCGGACATTAGTAATTAGGAGTACACTTACCATCCTACCAGAAGCATCTCTAAAGGACTTGTCAATTTCAGGATCAACCCGCCGGAAGCCTATGAGCAAGTGTACAAGAATTTTGGTCACAGTAGTCGACACACTACTTGCAATAACAACTGTTAAGTTCAAAACGGCACTACCCACAGAATGAATTCCATGTTGGCTTATTGGTGCTCATTACAAACGAACCATTACTTCCCTACAAGTGGGCACTCGCCAGAGTCAGAGCAATTCACAAAATGGCAGTCCAACCTATCCAAAAGAATGACGGGAATCATCAACTAAAGTGCTCTAATTAATAACACCAACACCATTGTAATAACTGCTTAAATAAAGATCACTAAAACCAATTGTGTTTACTCTGAATTGATGCATTGATCTCCCCCCCCCCCATCACCATTAAACCGGTGGTACGGTCTAATCCACATCATAATGGTCATAACGATCATAATGGTGGCTGGAATTCCAAACAATAACAATAGATATGTTCGTACAATATACAAAAAATGAAAAGACGCCTAATATTTTTTGAATATTAATAATGGAAAATTCAATTGATTTATGTAATTGGTGTTAAAAAATACTCTGATTTAAAATGCATAGGCATTTTGAATTTTTAAATGCAACGTCCCAAACGATTAAATGCGAGTTATTAGTAAAGTAAAATGTCATTAGTAGTTTTTTCCTTGTATTTTTATGACTTGTTTTTCATAACTTTCAATGACAGATGCTTAACGACTTGATTTTTTGAAACTCTAATAGCTAGTTTTCCAGATGTCTAATGACTTGGGAATATTCTTACAATTTCGAACAAATTAACATTTTAATAAAAATTAGGATATTTTTTGTTTTCTATCAATAATATGTAAATATAAATTCTTACTGTATAATATATTAAAATAAATCTATTAAAATAAAGCCGATTAAAATAAAATCTAAAAACATTCACATAAGAATTATCAAGTTCATCCAAGTTTAATAGTATGTGATTTTAATGAGTAAATTTGAGTGGAGTACTTTCAATTTCATGCTTTCATATAGTAGGCGTCAAATATAAAATCAGTAAGTACGGTTGATAAACTAACAGTTAGGGGTTGATTCTTGTATCGATAAGACTAGTTAGTTTTAACAAAGATTAGTTAATTTAACAAAGATAAGTCTTTGTTAAATGGTTGATCTTATGGTTATCACCTATAGTGTCAAATCCCATATATTCTACACCATATACTTTTGATAATTCCTACAAGATATGTAGAAACCCAACTTTTTTTATTTTTGATTCCACTCGACATTATAATCTAATTCTTGATGAGTTACATTGCTAAGGACTTTAAAACATTTACAATATTAATGTTAATAGTATATTTACGATAATAGTAGAGTATGTATGAAATTGAGAAATATGAAATTAGAAGAAATTAGAAGTCATAAAATAAATTTGGAATAAAACGTTAAGATTCTTATCTATTAAAATCTATTTTAATTTCAACTTTAATTTTAATTACAATTTTAATTTCAATCAATTTAAATTTCAACCCTACATGCTAAAACCATTTTTTTTATAAATAATATTTAATAGTTTTTTATTCACGAATTTCATACATTTTACTTATTTATAATTTTATTTAATTTTATGCATTTAACTTTACAAGTTCGTTGTATTAAGTAAATATAATTGAATAATTAATCGTTTTATTTTTAACTCTGAATGTAAATATAATCTATAAATTAATTGGAATATTAAAACTGATATCCCAATATTCTCTTGTAATATTTGGTTTTTAATACCATTAAGTAAAGAAAATATAATTTAATTGATATTATTTGCATATGCATAAAGTGGAGTTACTTTTTAATTTATTTTGCTTTTCTCTAAAATATAAATATAATATTGACCCGGTGTTGTTAAACGAGCTTTTCATGGAAAGCGATATACATATAATTTTTGCCAGCTAAATTCAGATATTGGAACATAGCCAATGAACTTTTAAGATTTTCGTATTACGATAAATTTTTGTATTACATAAATCGGATTGGAAAACTCAATAAATATATACAATGCAATGAGAATTACTATTAAATCAATACAGATATAAATTTTGATATATATATTTTACAAATAGTTTCGTGTTTAAAATAAAAGTATATGGTCATTGATACTTATACTTTTAGTATTATATTAAATTAAAATCTTGTACATACAAACATAAATTAATTCTTTTATACCACACATAAATATGTGCGAAATTAAATAAAAAGTCCAATAAAATGAGCCCCTTATTTTAGAACTTATTAAACAATTTTTGTTAGTTTCAGTACGTTATTAATTAATAACGTAGCATATTATCAATGATAATGTTATAATGTAAAGTTTGATAACGAAAATGCAAGTAAAATTCAATAGAAATTATAATATTTCTTTATGACTCAATTCTCATCATTAATATTTTTTATAATATATATATTAATGGACTTTTTCCTATATGAATTATGTTTTTAATTATAAAATACTTACACTATTACATCATTATTTCAAAATTTTATAATCATATATCAAGAATACAATGCGATTTTGATCACTCACAATACTCTCAATATTGATTCAGATATTCATTGTAATTTCTTATCAAGCCTAAAATATTACAAGAAATAAAAATAAAATATTTTATCACTAAATAGTATAACGAGATCATGTTTAATTCATGTTATTATTTTCTTTTTTAAAGAAGCAACACAAGAAAAACTATTGAGGATATCGGCTAGCGTTTTAAAACCGCCTCGTAAATTGGCTGGAGTTGTTCTAATTACCAGTGGATTACCAGCTCGGGGTAAAACCCAAATTGCTCATTCTCTGATACGAAGACTTAATTGGAATGGCGAATCCGCTAAAGGTAAATAACTCGATATTGTACATTTCGATAATTATATATTATCACTTTTACTTCTTAAAAATAAGTATGAGATTATATTGTCATTCATTTGTACAAAGATAAGTATATGACAAATAAATAAATTATTAAATTTTATTTAAAGTAATTAAAAATATTTATATTTAAACTGAATTTAAATATTTTTATACTAATTGTTTGAGAATGCGAGACCCTTTTTCAATACAATAAAACATCTGGCAAGCAACATCGTAAAATTTGCATTAAGATTTCAAAACTTTCCTTCTCACAATCATTTAGCACTTGTGTCATAAAACATCTGTAAAACTCCAGTGAAACGTGCCTTTGCTTTCCAGCGCAGTATAACGTAATGGGTTTATTGCCGGGAAAAATCCTAATGTAGATTCCGAACGAATATTACTCGATACATGAAATATCGAGTGCAAAACATTTCTTAAATTCATTGCAACCCAAAAATCCCGCACGTGCAACATCCTGAAATAGCCGTACGTGCGCATTCAGCCATTAAGACAATGCTTGCATTTTTCTTGGCTATGCCACAGCTGGTCGATCGCATTGGAAAATTGACCACGCTCAAGAGGACCCTTTGTCTGGCCAAGTCCCAGAGACGGGAGAAGCAATTAAGAAGAGGTGACCAATAGCAAAGGCTCCCCACTTCAGACACTTCTCTGATGAGCATATTCGGAAATGAGCCGGGAAGAAAGTGGAGATGAAGGCGTGCATAATTATTGTGCTGCCCAAAATCGACCTCTGATTGGTTAATTAAAAGAAGAAGGGATCCCAAGTGGAACGGGACCAGTAAAGCATTTAAGACAGAACAATGTAATGTACCACCACTTGTTCTTTTCTAACACTTCGCACACAATTGAAGGATAAGTCACGACTTACTCTCACGGAGGAGGACTAGAGAGACAAGTCGTTCAGCTGAATTCAGAAATATATCTAATAGAAGTTCTTTCTACGATTGTGAATTAGTATACAGTTGAATTGATCTCATCAAGACTGGATTGCATAGGACCAGACCACTTGTAACCTCACTTGGAGACAAAGAAAGAACTTAAGAGTTGCAACATTGCAAGGGAACGTCATAACAAGCCACCGAAGAGAGACTGGAAAATCACGATACACTGCAAGTAAGTCCTCATAGCTAGTACTCATTCTTGATTTCTCGGCTTATGTAGAAGACGGACGGATAAAGTCCAACTACGGAAGCTTCCCGGACATACTCTTGAACAAGACCAACTACAGACGCCACATTGGCTTCTCAATCCCTCCAACTATAAGTTGTTCCTGCCACAGATGGTGCACAGCTTCGCATAACCTCCATTTAGGCTTTCTTACGACCGATATTTAGAGGCAACTGCACACGTGTTAAGATAAACACAATAGCATTGCAGTGTTCGATCAGAGCACTACAATCACCATAACCTCTTAGTGATAATATTCAATAGATTATAACCTACTTCTTGTTACAGTAAATCATAATCTCACCAGTGACATGCAGAGAATAAGAAATTGATTATCCTGTAATTATGCAATGAATAGATATATCAACACCACAAGATTATTAAGAAATATAAAGATCATTTGTAATTTCAACAAGGTTAATAATTCCCATTGGAAATAAAGTAAAATAAATTAATCAAACAGCAATAACAAAGATATGTGTTAATTATTGAATCGATGCATTAATCCTTTACTTGCCCGGCAACCCCTCACAACATCTAGTGGTTTTTATTGTTCTAAGTTGATTTGTACGTTTGGATGACGAGTCAGATCTGTGGAATTATTTTCCGAACACTAATAAATATATAAACAAGAATAAAACAATATTCTACCTTGTAATTTATTTGATCACAAATAAACTTATTATACATAAATTAATAATGTTTAATGATTTATTCAAGTTTAGCACTGATTTTCATAAATGCATAATAGGTCTGATAGATATATTGAATATTACAAGCTGAACAAAGAAATAATTATATTTATTGTATGCCAGCAACGATTGCAATTTTAATATAATTTAATATAATATTGTACTATTCGATAATTTTTTAATTATTAATAGGAATTTTTACCTGCGTTTAGAACATATTTTATTGAAATATAAGTAAATCAATTGTTGTTAGATTAATAATATTACATTTTAACTAGCTTCAAATAAATAATTTAGCAGGAAAAATACATATTAATAAATTAATTATAATTATTTTATGTTAAAGTTATACATTTAATAAAATACATATTGCAATTTTAATAATAATGCATTATTTTAATAGTAACGCGCATTAATGATTATCACCGAAAAAAGTTGGAGCGATGTGCATTACACAAGCTTTTTCAAACGGATCACGATGCCAATATCGCACTTCGAACACAAACACAATGGGATGCAATGTATGATTGTGCATTGTCACTTGCATCTGGAAATAGTGTGGCTGTATGTATTATAAAAAATAAATTAAACAAAACAAAACTTTCATATATTTATATGTATCTTCAACGTACTTCATTGCAAATTATAAAATTTAATATTATATATGAGCAAATGATTTAATATTATATAGATATATACACTATAAATAATAAAGTTTCCAATTTGAAAAAAAAACAACAATCATTAGTTTATAAAAATTGAACAATTTTATACTAGTATTAATGTGACAATAAATTATGAAATATAAATAATAATCGAATGTTCAATTTTTGTTATAAACCACTATGTAAATTATATATTAATAATATTTGATATAAATAAACAATCTTTACTTACAATATTTAAATAAAATTTACCAAAACAATAATACACAACAAAATTCTTATTAGAAATATCAAAATCTTAAAAGAAATTTCAAAAATAAATAAAAACAAAAAATTCAGAGAAAATTAATAATGATAAATAATATTCTTTTACATTAAGATCTTAATACAAAAAATAATATTATATATACTCTGTATAAAACACAGAATAAAATAAAATAATCCAATACATATTTTTCCTCCTCTTGAAGATATTGGATGGTACAATGATAACTCATGAACAACGTTCGGAGGCGTATGATTACTTCTCTACACAAATGGGTTATCGCGTCCTATTTCTCGAATGCGTCTGTGAAGATGCTCAGATTCTTGACTCTAATTGTCGCGAAATTCTGAGCCACAGTCTCGACTATGCAGGTACGGATGCTGTAAAAGCTGCGAAAGATTTACGCATTAAGATCGAGCATTTCGAAAAGATCCATCAACCTATGGACGAGAAAAACTATCCAAGGATAAGAATTAACACAGCCACAATGGAAATTACCGCTTACAAAGTTACTGGACATATCGAAACCAGCATTCTTGGTTACTTAGCTAGTGTCTCTCTTAAACCACACACTCTTTATTTCTCACGGGTAAGAAAAGATTTCCAAAATAAATATTATCTAATAATTTAAACTTGGTATACAATTAAAACTTGCATTTGTTTAATATAATGTCATAATGTACCTATATCTTTATTGTTTAAATTTATAGAAAGCTGAATTAAGGTTAATTTATTTATTTTCATAATTGATCTTGCATTATCATCGTTTTTATATAATATTCTTATTCTATATAATATTCTATAATATTATATAATAATACTAAATTCTCAATTATTATAAAATATTTTAATACGTAGAATTTTATAGAAATGCCGAATTAAGCCATACACATTGAATTTAAATAGTTCATATAATTTATTATCTAATTTAAACAGAAAATTTGTTTTATAATATAATAAAGCTAGTTTTAATCTTTTCAATTTTCTATTTTTACAATAGCACGGCGAAAGTGAATTTAACGTGCTTGGAAAAATTGGCGGTGATGCTGTGTTGAGTGCAAGGGGTGAACGTTACGCACAAGCTCTTTCTAGTAAGATCAATTCAATGCATATACCTGATCTTCGAGTATTAACCAGTCGTCTTCGAAGAACAATTGCCACGGCGCGTGATATCGAAGCACCTCAAGAACACGTTATTGCGCTAAATGAACTTTATGCTGGGGTTTGTGAAGGATTATCATACGAGGAAATACAAAAGCAGTACCCTCAGGTAAAGTATCTTATACCATAAATATTTTATACTTACTATAAACGTAGCAAATAAACTATACTATGAAACTATTTAGAATGAATTCATTTTATTTAATTTTGAATATAATTATATATTTGGAAAATTCAAAATATAGCATAGTTAAACTTATATTGTCGGATTTTATATTTCAATGTAATATAAGTTTATTACTACCAATTTGATTAAATTTATAGTTTTATATGATTCTGTAAAAGAAGTTATATATTAACGTTAATTTAAGAATATATTCTTTTATAAAAAAAGAGAAAGGAATAAGTTTATGTCAAAATTAAACATAATATATTATGTATAAATAAATGTTACAATATTACTATTCATTTATTCTTATTTTATTTTGAATATAAACATTATATCAACTTCATATATTATATTGCGTATTATTTATGTTTAAGAAATATATAAGTACTATATAAGTTTGTTAATTTAAAACTAATGAGAAATATTACTATTTTTTTTGATAATTCGTGTAATTAATTCCTTTATTTTTAACTTTTCATTTTACAATATTACTATATAAATATTTTCAATATTAAATCTCTGAACACATTTAATATATTGTTATATGTTAACATGAAGAAATACTTTGGATATATATTGCGAAGCATTATGTATTTATTTATGAACCAAAGTCTATAAAATTATAAAGTTTTGAAGTTAGATTAATTCAAATTTAATTATAGTTAAATTAAAATCTTAATCATAATTTATTTTTAGGAGTTTGCATCGCGAGATCAGGACAAACTGCGTTACCGATATCCATTGGGCGAGAGCTACGTTGATACTATGCAGCGTGTCGAACAAGTTATTGTTGATCTTCAGCACACTCATAACGTTCTAGTTGTTGCTCATCAGGCAATTTTACGCTGCATAATAGGCTTCTTTCTCGATAAAACTCCTGAAGAGCTTCCCTACATGGAGGTTCCTTTACACACCATTATATGCGTTAGCAGTCAAGGATTCAATTACAAACTCGAATTTATTAAACTGGGTATCGAGTGCGTAAATACAACACGTACCAAACCGCAAAATTGCAGCTCTACGAGAACAAGCGATGATGCTCTCATTACAGTACCAGCTCACTATGACATTTCCGATCCTTGGAGAAATCTTGGTAGCTGTCCAACATTGGTACAGCAATACTGAATATCAATTGAGGGGACATACGCGCATGACAAAACAATTCTACCAATCTCTGAATACCATTCTATGTACAAAAATGTTACTGTTTTCGGATTTTATAATCTAATACTTGGATCCGTTATCGCCTTTACGGCATTATTTTCTTTATTATTCACCTTTGACTACATACGTTTATTTTTTATATTATAAAAATAAATGAAATATGAAATAATTAATAAAATTATATTTTTGCAGCTAGTTGCATATTTTTAATTCGAAAGTGATGAATGAAAGAAAAACATTATAATTAAAATTTGTTAGCATTTTATTTTTTGATGATTCATTACTTCAAAGATTATTAAACAATCAATAAAGACTATCAAAATATCAAATAATTATCATTTTTTTAAATTACTAAAATTCATTAAAATTACTAAAAAGAAAATAGCATAAAATTAAAGTAAAAGGCTTATGCAATAATTACAAAATAAAACTATTACTTTATTCAACAGATATCAATTCTGTGTGTACAACAATTGTGAACTTTAAATTTTACTTAATAAATTGTGACACTAATTTAATGATATATACTGTATATAATTTTTTAATGATATATACTAATAAACTTAGAACTTCTGATATAACTTCTTTCATTTATAAATACAAATGTAATATTATGAACTTTAAATCTTTGAAGACGTGTAATATTATAATTCAACGTAATTAAATCATTTTAAATAATAATTTATGAATGAAGGAAATTATTGAATATTTATTTCAGAAATATATCTTATTAATAAAATAGTTATCTAATAATTAATAATATTTAAGATCCAATATGTTATTAAAAATTGATCGTTAAAAATAGATATATTACTTATTATTTATTAGATATAATGAAGTATTTAAGGATAAATATATAATAAAACTAAGGCTCAAATGAAATAATTGGTCTTTCTGAATTAAAATTTATATTTTTATTTATATATGATACAATAATGTTTAACGACAATTGAATAATTCATTTTGATGAAATGTGTATTTTCTGAAACAGTTTTTTAAATTAATTATGTAAATAGTTTTGCGTTAAAGTTGAGACGAAAATACAAATTCCAATAGATTTAAATGGAATATTTCTATTTGTTATATATTGTATAGTTTGGATTCAATCAATTATTCGAGAGTATTATGAAATTGTTTCTGCTTCATGCCGATTATAAATTTGGAATTTGAAAAATAAAATGTTTACTGCATATTGATTTAATATTGATTGAATAGAAATAAGTTTTGTAAACAAATACTTCGTTTAAAAAACCTGTACGTGTTTATAAATTGTATTCTAAAAAAAATAATTAGTTTTGAATGCTAGTTAAATTTAAAGACATTAAAATAATTGACTATAAAAAATTTCTAAATGTACAATTTTTTAAAAAAATATAATATTCGATTTTCAAATATTCCTTGAATTCATTACCATGTAATTAAAAGCAATTGATAAAATATTTTTTTTTAATATTTTAAAAGTAATTATATTTTAATCAAAATATCAATCATTTATATTATCTAAAAACATAATTTTATATGAGCATTAATTTATTTAAATTAGTACTTTAAGACTGAATTATGTTGGAGAGATGGATACTTTGTATTTTAATTGATAATTTTTTAAATTTATTAAATAAATAAATGAAATAATATGAATAAATTTAAATAAGGTTAATACAATAATAACTTTAAAATAATATGCCGCTTATTAATAATTGTCTAATTCAATAATTAAGTTTAACTTAAAGGTTTTTTATTATTATCATTTTATCAATAGTAAACGTATCTATTGAAATTAAGAATTAAATTATAAAAATTAAATAATATATTTTATAAGAAAAAAGTATATTATTTTAATTTAACTATTATTTTCATCAAGTAGGATTCCAAATTTGAATATAATAATCAATCAATATAATAAACACATAATAATTAATTATAAGCAAAAATTTGGTAGTCATTTGATCAAAATTTATTATAATGAATTTATAATTTATAATTTCATATTTTTATGAATTGAATGATTAAATATATAAATTATAAATTTGTAATGGTGTGGTTCATATTATTTATTTTATTGAATAATGTTGTGGATAATTTTCATAAAGTCTGTTTCATAAAAATTCATATATAAATTATCTTTATAATTAATTAATTGTCTAAAATAAAATTACACTAATAATTTGTATGATCGAAAAGCTCGAGGATAGATATGAGAATCAATCGATTGACTGATAAATTTAAAATTCTTTGTACAAAAATCAACGATCAAAAATAGCACTGTCATATAGTGCTTAATAGATTCTATAATCAAGTTTTATAAGCTACATATTTTATTATAAAAGTATAAATAAATCTTTTATACGTAATCTGTATTATTTATTTAGATTTAAATATTACTTTTTCTATATTTAATAATAAAAATAAATATTTGTTTACATATAATAAATATATATATATATTAATTTTATAGTCGTATAAAACAATGAGTTTACTGAATAGATAAATTTAAAATTATAATAGAATACTAAAAAAATATTAAAATATTCGTGAATTTTTTATTTCAGTTTATATTTATTTCAATTTTATACATTCTAACTTAATATTAATATAAATTATTTGAATAATGTTATATTTGTAGATGAAATAAAATTCTTTTAATCTACATATATCTTATAATGTTAGAAACTGCATTTTCTTGGAGTAAATTTTTTTTAATATACTTCCAAACTTATTTAGAATTCTCTTGATTTTATTTTTTCTTTCATTTTTGAACTCAATTATGTTATAAAAATATTTTACATATTGTATTTACTTATATTGTTATAAAGTTATTCGCATATAATAACGAGTGAAAATATCAGTTTCAGTTTTGTATAAATTTAAAATTTTTAGTTTTAAATTCAAACTTTTTAAAAATCAAATATGACTTTTTAAATTGATTTAACAACTAAATTTATTGAATAAGCCGTATTTTAATATTTGTAATGTTCCGATATCCTAGGTATTACTAACAAACCCGTGAACCTCCACTATATAACTCGGTATACATATACAAATGCGTAGATATTTTAATAAATACTTATGTGTAATAAAAATAAATGTATAATATACATTATCTATTATATAATATATAATATATATTATAGTCTCTAATTGTTCAATTATTAAGGATTTGTTTTATGGCTCGAACTGTCAATTCAATAGTTTAGTGGATTAGTCTCTCGTTATGATGACTGATGAGGGAATAACAAATGGAAGGGCTGAAATTATGTACAGTGTGTTATTATTATATTAATATATCATTTATTCTTGTTGTCAATTATTATAATATTGCAGTTTTAATAGCTGTGGTGAGGTTATTTCTGCAGGGTGATGGTGATGTCGTTAATGCTATGCAGATTACTGTGGATCTTGAATGTCGGTTTTATGTTGATGTTTTAAGGATCAACATGTGTAGCCGATCATGTTCATTCCTGAGCATGAGAAGATGGTCATTGGAATTAAGTATGCTTGGTAGAAAGAATGATCATACTTAGTAGAGTGTAAATAGTCTTGATGGAAATTGGCACGTAATCAATTATGTCTCTAGTGAGGATGGGGGTAGTTGAAAACTAGTCACATGCAATAATCATAAATGACAAGCCTTCGAGCTCTGAAGAACTTGATAGAAATGTATTTATAGTCGATTATTTGATAAACTGTGGTCTGGTCTTGACAATGTAATTGAGTGTATTGCGTCACTTGTCGACTGTAGTAGGGGAACCTACGTTCTCCGGCTTGTTAGCCTGCTTGAGCGTATTGCGTCACCTGTGACGATTGTATGGGGATGAATGTACGTTCTCAGAATTGTTAGTCAGAGAGAGTGTACTCCATGACCTGTATCGACTCTTTGAATAGAAATTATGTGAAACTTGATTTGCGCGTGGGTGACTAGCTTGATTAGATAATATAAAGGAATGTACCTTGTAAATTACCGACATGGCATGTTGAATGGCTACGTGGCTGACCTTTTGATTACGATTCCAATGCCTTCACTATTAAATCACTACTTGTTCTTGCTGACTCTTTTTAATAATGCACATGTGGTTTTTAGGTTGGCGGCGGCTCACTTAACTGGAAACAAAGCATCGTCGTTGCTGCACTGGAATATTACATAAGCGCAGAAGGAAAAATCTAGATGTTTCGAGAATTCGACGAAAGAAAAAATAAGGCGTAATAACTTTAGAGACTTCCGGGCGATGTTATTGCCCGAAGACCATATAAATATTGCGGGCCATTTGAAACCAAAACATAACGAGTATACGAAAATTCTCGTCCAAAGTATTTACAGAAATCTGAGATTTAAAAAGCCGGCTATACCGACAATCGGCGGTCTTGGAACTTGCTTCAATCCCGAGCACTAATATATGCATATATTTTAGAAATTTTATTTATAAAATATATACACTGAATTAATTTACGTATTATATTATTATTAAAATATAAAAATAGAAAATAATTAATATGTTCAAGAAATTAAAAATTAAAAATTCTTTAAAAATATTTGCAGAGGCATTGCATATTTGTGTATATATACTAATTCAACCTAAGTAATCTTAATAAAACTTTGACTACTTCAGTTGAAAATAAATTATTAAAATAAATTGGTACCATAAGTAAATATTATTATAATAAATGGAATATTAAATCTACTAGTTATTAAATTTTATTTTGATGCAATTTCTATATATATATATATATATATTTAGAATTAACTAAGAAAAAGCACTAGATGTTGTGTGGGAGAATGCGTGGGCAAGTGGAAGGGTTAATGCACTGATTCAATAATTAACAGATATATTTCTTATTGCTGTTTATTCCATTTACTTTCCAATTTAGGGATTATTATTCTTGAAGAGGTTAAATGAACCTTTATTATTCTCAATAATGAATGTGGCGTTGAGGTCACTTCTATTGGAGAACCAGAAGTTTGTGAAGTTCCTGATCCTCTGGACGTAATGGCCTAGATAGTAACTTACTGTGAAAAAGGATAGGAAAAAGGGAAAACGAACACTACAGTTCTTGTCTGCGTCGTGATTCTGGCACGTGTTGCCTGAAGCTGCCTCTAAATAGTGATCCGTGTGAGTGAG